AAGAATCACTAAAATATATATGGTGCACTTGAGTGAAGTGATGCAACAAATCAAAAAATTGATTTTTTAATAGGAGAATTTGTAAAGTAAATAAGTAAATAAAGTGTATACAATCTGTCTAATAAATGAAATCAGTTGTTGAGCGACATCCGAGGGGTTTCTTTAACTCAGCCTTACCATATTATTATTTCCATTAGATATTATTTTACTTTCAAAAGACATATAGTATACAGAGAATTCTTTGAATTTCCGAAATTAACTTTGTGTGCACAGAACTTGGACAGTTCTGTAAGACTAAAGTACTAAAAGAACTGTACCGTGTACTGAAATTGTCGATGGAATTGCTTCTTAATTATCTGCTTTGTCAAAGTGTACTTATATATTAAAAGAATCTGCTTCTAATTAGAGCTGAAACTATCTTACAGTTCCATTTAATAGCTTCGTCTTGCATTAGTATTCTTTTCGAAGAAATCTTAATATAATTTTGATATTTATTTATTTCAAAGTATTTATTTATTTTCATTAAAGTTTTGAAAAATTTTCTCAACTTTATAAATAACTCTGAAGTAGAAGAAACCACATACAGGCAAAAACAATTAATTCATAATTGAGTTGGTTGATTACTTTTAAATTGTTGGTTGATATATACGAAGTATACGAGTACGAAGCGTCCTGATCTAATTAGAAAGAAGTTACATTGAATGACGAAATTGATTTCTTATGAAGCGCTTAAAAACTTTGCGAAACTTTTCTTTAAATGAAATGAAATTTGAATAAAAAGTCACTTGGCACACAAAAGTTGCTTTTGTACCTGAGATTGTCGCAGTTCCTTTCTTCAATTTGCAATTTTCAATTCCATCAATCATCAATTCATTTTCCATAAAAATTGAAAGTTTTTTAATTTAGCTGCAATCAGAAAAGTGTTGTCCTGCGCTTACGACGAACATTTTTAATATAAAATAAAATATAATTTGAATAACAAAAGCACAAAGAATTCAATTCAATTTAAAACCAATCTTATTTTCACTAATTCAACGGAGGGTGCAGCAAGTCAAGTCAAGGAAAGCAGAAACAGGAAAAATCTCGAAATGTTTTAATAAGATTAAAATGACAATGTTACATTTTCATTTCTAGTCACATTTTCTTAGAATTTTCCCTACACTTTCAATTGCGAAGGAAAAAAATAAATTATTGTAGTAACGTTGGAAACTCAATGGAAATCAATGTTACAAAAATGAAAATAGCGCAAATTTAGAAAAGCAACTGTCAAAACCATGCCAAGTAATTGTTTTCCTTTAGATAACGCCAAATTCAATTCCGTATTCAATTATGTATCGCATAAGTACTTTTCGTCCTACACGATGATTCTGCATATATGTTGTGATATTGTGATGTTGTGAGGTTACTTACTACTGCACAGTGTGACGAAAATAGTTGTCAAAGGACATCAAAATTATAAAGAAAAGGCAAACGAAAAGCTTCATATGGACCAAGAGGTTTAGGGCTACATTCATATGTTTAGGGCTACATTGCAAAATCGATTCGTTACGTTGCTTATCCGATTGATTCGGTGCCTTACAGATTAATTTTTTATACTCAAATAACAAATCACTTTTCCATTTTCCATTTTCCGTATGTGAAACCCTATTTTATTAAATGTGCAGTCAATATTTGAGTTTTTTGTTTATTAAAATAAAATTGAATTCAAATGTTGCGCATACGTCATGTGGTACCAGCATGTGGCCTTGTTAATATTGGGAAAGAATACAGCCAACCGACGCAAACACAAATTCTCTGTTTATTATAGGAAATTGAAGACTTAAATCAAAATTTAAGCACACTCCGCTCAGTTATGCTTGTACTTGAAGTTTTTTGTTGCATTATTAATAAAAATTTTATGTTTAATATATAAAATGGAAGTGGATTTTTAACGCTGCTGGCCACTTCCTCCACTTACTCCACTTTACTGCTTTGCATTTTGCTTGCTAGTAGGTTTAATAAAATTATTCTTATTATTATTATTATTATGAATATTATTTTGCAAATAAACATAAAATTTTGTATCTTGTTGGATGAAAACGTGAAACCGCAATGGCTATGATGGAGCGAACGAAAAAGTCGCAAGGATAATTGCGTCAATTGTGCCTTTGCGTCTTATGGGTCATCAAGTTGTACAATATAATCCGTTTAAGCTCTGCTAGTCCTTTTCGTAAATAATTGTAAATGCTACTGCGATTATACATTTGGCAGATATAAATTGTTATAAGCGCTTTGGAGCGGCATATGCGAGATAAGAGTGATGGCGCAGATACTCGTATATGCCAATATTGATTTTATGTATTTAAATTTTGCTTTCATAAATAAAGGATAAAGACTCAATAAGCAAACAATATGCTGATTTATTAATATTTCTTGGTAGAAAATGGATATTATGATTTTAGTGGCTTATTTTATTAAAATTATGAAACAAATAACAATTTTGGCAATGTATCCTTATACATATATTTAATGAGACAATGAAATATGTGTTCATAAATTAAGGTATTAAAATGTTAAATAAATATTATGATTTCGATAAGTGCACGTTGTTTTATTGTGGTCATAAAAGATAGTAAAAATTCATTAGATACTTGAACATTTATGAAAATTGTATAAGATAATTAAGAGGTTTATTTTTTAAGTTTAAAGGAAAGAAATTGCAAGAAGTATTTTTAAGCTATTCAAACGATTTTAATAAATAAAGAAATATTGAGAAATGATTTTTATTTTCTATTATTATCTTAATGTAATATCGATTGAATTTGGATATGGTAGATAGCAGATTTAAACGGTAGCCAGTCTCTTAAAAAAAACGTAGCTCACTTAGGACTTCAAAGTGAGCCTATTGTGATATCACAGTTATGAGGCCACACTGATTGTTTTTGGTAAAAGTAATCATACGTCAGCAAGTAACTAGAGTTGATGCATTAATAAAACAAGCAATAAAAGTCTATATTACTGGTATCAGACAAGGGTGTGCTGTCTGCTCTAGTTAAAATGAATTCCTATTTCGGAACGCGAAGTCATTTTGTTGCAACAATATAAAGAACAATGGCTTTGTTGAGGGAAAGTTTTGAACACTTAAGCGCACTTGCACACATTTAGCTCTGTCATGGTTTCAAGGATGAGCCAATATTTGTATACCCGACATAAAGAGTCACCTTAAGAGTCATTGTCTTCTTTAAGAAGACAATATATACTATGTTTTCAAAATGATTGAATCAGATATATTAAACTTGAGTTGAACATTGCTTGGAGTGATGTAATTTGTGTGTTACTTTACCTACAGTTGTGGTTAGGTATCCTTCTTCCATAGAACAGAGTTGAGATTACTGGTGGGATATTTAACGGATCACTATGGACCTTAACAAAATAGGTCTGTCCAAAGAGATAGATTGTTGACTCTGCTTAGAAGCAGAAGAGACTGTCCAACCTTGATCTGGCGCAGAAGGAGGTCACTGGGTCGAAAACTACTCTCCTCTTCTGACATAAGGAAGTACTCAACGGTCGATATTCGGAAGGCGGAATGTCTTCTGTTCGGTTAGGGCCTGTTGCAGCACAAAAGATTAATCATGGTCGCCGTGCCCAGCTCCGTTGGGAGGTGGTACCCCGTTTTTTCCTATTCCTATTTTAATTTTAAGTTACTTTTTAAATTATCTAAAAATAGTAAAGGCAGCTTCTAAAACTTTTGAAACTTATTATACACTGACTAACCTTAAGTCATGCCTTTAAAATTTTTCCATTCCATTGATAAAATTTGACATTAAAAAAATAAACAAAGGAAAAACGAGAAATCCAGTACAAAATCATAGAAAATTGAACCTTAACACAAACTGATAAACTTTAGTAGCTCAAAGCGATAACAACAACATAATAAACACATTTGCAGACAGGCATATACGGGAATGTATGTAGATCCGAATCCTAATACATTAATGCGATACATTTGCATATTGTCATAAAGTCAGACTTTGATGACTGCAAGCAATGCTTGCCATACAGAAGGCATACATACTCATGCGATATCAAGCAAATATATTAAAAACGAGATTCAATTCAATTGAGAATAGCACAGAATTTAACAAACAGAAATCCAACAGAAAATTGAAAACAAATACCAAAGCATATGTTCAGGCGCTACAATACGCAGAGATGCATCGAAAAAAAATGAATCTTTGTATTTTATTTTCAGGGTCTCGTGCCAATTGAGGTTTTTTGGCTTTTTTTTTTTGTTAATTGGAAGTCATATTTAGTTTTCGTATAATTTCCGTATCAATATCACTTGAGTAAGTTGGTCTCTCTATTAAGTGAAATATACTTGCTTCTTAACGAGTTCTATTGCGTTTGTGCTGATTTAGTTGTACTCTTTGCAAGTCAGTGTGATAATCTGCTCATATTGCTTTGCTATATTAACTTATATTACATACAATTGTATAAAATGTTTTTATCTCCTTAGAGTATTAACAAAAACCCTGTTTTTTAATATATCGACATGCATGCCCTCCAATTTTCTTTGGCTACGAGCACGTTTGCTAATGCGACAAAAACGTATTGCAAATGTTGTGAATTTGGGTTTTTTGTTATTTTCGAACATTTGTTGTATTATAAGAAAAATATTATTTTTCCCAAATTCAAAGAAAAACAACGACATCCGTGGGCGTTTCTATGTACTTCATAGAAACCAAGCAGAAAGGAATCCACAGCGAACAGGCACTATGGCATTGTATACTGACGATAGCGCAAGGATAAAGCGCGCAGTAGAAATGATATGTTTGGGAAATGACAGAAATTGAGCAAAATTTATGCGTTCCTGGTACTGTCAACGTGGTTTAAGCATATCATAAAGTACATACATACTTAC